CAGTAATCTGGTGGCCAAATTAGGTTCAGTCTTCTTTAATATATTCCAATATATTTTAATATATTTTTAATATATTTTTTTTAAAAACAAGTGGACACTGCTCTCCAATATATACCACCAGTGCCCAACTCTAGGCAGACAGAAATGCAAAATTAGGTCTTTCCTTATGCTTTCTTCTTTAGAAACCCAGGTTTAAATGAAAAATCATCTCAGCTTAGAGATAGTTTCTATTCAAAATGGGGGGAAACTGAGGTTGCTTCAGTTCCTTTTTTTTTTTTTTTTTTTTTTTTAAAGGGCTGAATGGAAACATCATGAAAATGAAACATATTCTTTAGGTTTTGACTTTCTATGGTTAATTGGATGCAACTGACATTCAAGAGCAGTACAAAATAACCACTGAAATAAGGTAAATATCCTCCTTAAGATTTATTTCAAATAGAAAAATGCATTCCAACAATATTCTTCCAGCCTGGCAAAGAAAGCTCAAACTTCCTGAAACACTACGTTTTAGTATCTTTAAAAAATAAAACATGTTCTCATGGCAAAAATATGCTTATGAAACAGTGTGTTCTAATCCAAACTGTGTTTCATGGGACGAAACAGTGCTGATTTGTAGTGGCTGGGGGAGGGTGTTAAGGCCGGGGCTGGAAAGCTGTGCTCTCTCCTTGCAGCTGAGAGCAGACCTGAGTTAATAGGGGCAGAAGAAGCCTGCTGTAGAACACCAAGTCTAAATTTTTTAGTATTTTTAAGCAATCTACTGGGATAGGATTAAGCTCCAGAGACAGACGCCCTAAACTTCTTTGGGATAACACCCAGAGACTGATTTCCTTTTGTTAAATGGGGCACAAAAGAGGAGGAAATCGTCAGACCACCGTGAGCAAGGTGTCCCTGAGCTTGGGGGGCTGTTTCTTCCCCGCCCCTGGCGAGTTGTCCTACTGGCCTGCAGATGGCGAGTTTGCCATGTGGAGATGTGTCTTTTTGCTGCCAAGGCAAAGCCCTGCATCCCTGAGGGAGTGGGGAAAACAAATTCTGCCTGAAGACGATAGCTCAGAGTTAACTCTTCACCCTGCCCAACAGTTCTCCCACAACGCTCCGTTTTGTGTGCATGACCAGCTGCTCCAGGCACGAGGCTATTGCCCCAGGACGGTAATATCAATACTTCAGCTGATCATTAAACATCACTCTTGGTAATGGAAATAGGGATCTTTACTCCCACTTCAGCAGCAGCCACAGTCCACAGCACAAAATCATTAAAATTGCTCTTCCAGGAGCTGAAGCAACACTACATGATGATTATCTGATAATTTTCAGGTCCCCCCTACAGTCTTTAGTAATACACAGACTTGAATTAATACCCATATTGACTGATTCCTAAGGTCCCACAGTGAGGTCCAGGATTAAGACTCAAGCAATGACTTGCAGTGTTACTGATCTCTGTGCCACAATGAGTTAAATCTCTAGAGTTCAAAAAATTTCAGTCTGAGCCCCACTGAACCACTTTCCAGGAAAATATGTTTTTCATATCTGTTTTTTCAAAATCCATGTTTGTGTTTAAAAGTCATCTGGATTCCTTCACCTATTCACAAAAGTAAAAATAAGGTGTTACAAAGAGTAGTTTTAATAGACAAAAGAATGTTTGTTTTTCCCTCACTGCTCACATGGAAACTCTGCCAAGCTCATCCTGTGACACATGCATTTCCTATTGCTGGCTTCCCTCTCTTCATTTCCATTTTCCTACTTTTCCCCTTACATTTCTGTCTTGTTCAAGGGCTACAAAATGAGACTGGAACATGAATCATGTGCTTCTAAGAAACATAGAGAACTTGCTCTCTGGGTCAAATTTTCCAGTTATTGTTCAATAAAGACTCCTGAGCCCTCCCAAGAGCCTCACAAGAAAGAATTTCTTTCCAACATGCAGCTGCTCATTAATTCCTGGGAAAACCCTGAAAACAGAGTTTTCAGTAACATAGTAATCCTTCCATTCTGAAGTTTCACTGCTATTTTTTAAAAGAAATCACTCACGGACATTAAAAAAACTCCAGCATTTTGAACATGCTATTTTGATCAGCTACACAGATGCACACATATACTGCATTCTGGCAGCAGATTTGGTGACAATTGTGTGCTCAAATAACTAAAAGGGAGGAGCAGAGAAAGCATTTCCACCCCCACTTGTGCTCTAGGGCAGTATGCACCCATTCTTGGATACCTTGGGATTTTATCCTCTGCCACCACCCCAGCTGCAGGAGGAACTTGGTAAGGAAGGCAGAGCCCTCTACACCTTGGAGCTGGGCAGCACAAGGCAGGGGCAGCTGGTGCTACTGCTGCAAGGCAGGCACAGCACCTCCTCTGCCATTTCTAGCATGGCACAAGGGTATTTGGCACTAAGCTAGCAGACCACAAATGCACAGCCAACAAGCCAGGTCTGTTATATTTGCACCAGGGCTGAGCTCTGCCATCCTCTCCATCTGTACAAGCCACAAGACCGGAAGAGCTGTGCTCTGTAAGGCAGCCCCGATCCAAAACCTCGTACAAACACCAGCCTCCCCTCGCTGTGCCACTGCCACCAGTGTCCCCCACTTGCCCATGGGAATGGGTGGGTGTGCAAGAAACTCAAGGCATCACCTTGAGTCACACATGAGTGTGTTTGCCCATGGCTTTCCCTCTGCTCATGCAAATCCCAGAGCTGCAGCGCTGCTGCCATGACAGGAGCTGTCTTGGGGCTGCTGCAGAGCTGCCCTCCATGACAATGAGCAGCTGTGGAGCACAGAAGAGCAGGCTGTGGAGGCTTCCTACAGTACCAGGGAAGGAGAAATGAACAGCAAAGGCTGTGGTAACAAAGATGAAACCTTGATTTATGCCCAGAAGCCCGTGTTGCTGCCAAAGAGCAGCACTTGGTACCTCCTCCCTCCAGCAATCCAGAGACTCTGTTTCATTCCTAGATTTTAATAGCTTGTCTTTGACCCCACAACAGTTTGTGAGTTATGTGGGCAAAGCTAAGGGGAGCAGAGGCAATACCTCCATACCATATTTTGCCAGTCTGGAGGCATTCCCTTTGCACATACAGCACTTTTGGCTGATAAAATGCAGGAATTTTGGCTGACTAAACCTCCTTCCCTTGCTGCAAGACCTTTCATGTCACTACCTCTGTCTTTCCTGACGCATACAGGGCTTCCAGGCTCAGTTGACAGTGAAGTTGTGACAGAGACTTAGGAATACCAGACCATGGAGGTCTTAAAGCCCTATTACCACTTGGCACAGAGTGTACTTTCATGTAAAAGAAAATAAAGTAGTTGTGTTCTATGAGAAGTTTGAGGAACGAGAGAGGAGAGTGATGAAGACCCTGTGCCCCCAGGGAGAAAACAGGAAGACCTTTGTTCCCAGAGATGAAGATTATTTTAGAGATATATAATGACAACCTTTACTTTTGGACAACTCATCTTTAAAACAGTACCCCATAAGCTGACATAACCCATAAAGACAGCTGTGGAAAAGCTTGTGGAAAATGGGAGGGATTTCACGATTACAGATTTCCCCAGGGGACTGCTGTTCATGAAGAGAACCACGAGAGAACTATTTTCTAGTAGAGAAGTCTCCATAACATTAACAAGAAGGACTTCTCTCCCTAAGTGAACTGAAGAAAGACTATTTTAGAGGTGGTAAACTGACTAAAATTTTAGATTTTGTTTCTTTACATTGTCATTGGGAAAGAAAAGGTTGTAGGGGGAGAAGAAGTGTCCTGAAAGTTTTATTCTAATTCTTATTACTCCTTCTTTTAGCTACTGTTAATAAATTTTTCTTTATACCAGTTTAAAGTTTTGAGCCTGCTCTGCCTTTCTTCTAATCCTACCTCACAGCAGAGACTGAGTGCACTGGTGATTGGCCAGCACTGAACCCACCACACTCATTGGCCAGGAAATCTCAAATTAGCGAACCAAAACCATTACAATTTTATAGGATGGAAATCCTTCAATTTCTTTTCTAGATTACTGCGGACAAAAATAATTTTAGGGTTTGTTGTCATTTAAATGATATGGTTGTGCAGGACTGAAAGGAAGACTGTAACACTGGCAATCTCTCTCTAAGAATAGCACTGGCTCCTTCACCTCACACAAGATATTTTTGGAGCCCCTCCGTCTCCCTCCCCACCCCATTTCTGCCACTTCAGGGCAAAAGGTGAATTTGGCAGTGCTGGGTTAATCGTTGGACTCAATGATCTTAAAGGTTGTTGCCAACAGAAACGATGCTCTGATACTGTTGTCATGTGGGGATGGAATGATTTTCATTGCACACCCTGGCCAGAATAAAGTAAAGCCTGATTCTCTAACACTTTAAAGATGGTGTTGGAGAGTTTCTTTGATTCCCTTCCTTGTGGTGACACTAAGATTCTGTGATTCTCTGTTGTGTCTGCAGTGGGCTCAGTACCTGCACTGAGTACTAACCAACAGATAAGAGGCTTTGCCTAATTGGAGCCCTTGCATTTTGTAGGCTCAGACTATTTCCATTTTCCACAGCTGACAAGGTCTTCATGGTATTTTGCTGAGATCAACAACCAAATTCTCCACAATTTACTTCAAGGCCTTTTTGACATTCACTGATAATGTCTGCACAGTGATTACTTTGGGTGTTATTCTGCTGCAGGCATAGCTCAAAGTGCTCTCTGACTCCCCTCTGCTTGCCACTCAACTTGCATTCCCCAGCCACCACAGCCAGTCAGAAACTTTTTTAATGAGGCTGCTTTATCACTTATGAACATTATCATTCAGCACTGTGGGTAGATCTGTGAGTGAACAGCTTGCTAGTAGTAAATGGTGATAAGAAAGATGCCCTTGGCAAAGGCAAACAGAATTTTGCCCTGCAATAGCTCCCTTATTCTGGGCCAGTTCAGCATGCCCCTCTTATAAATGTGTTTCTATATGGCAAATGTGTTCATGTGTCTCCTGCCAGCAATTACAGAGTCTTCTCTGCTTCTCTCACCATTTAGTAATGAGGGAGACAGGTTTCTGTGTAGGAGTTATTTACTTCCCAAAATCTTAGAAGGATCACAGAATAGCAATAAAATAAAGGCAACAGGAAATCGTGGCTTCCATCATAAAACATCTGAATTTTGTAGAAAAGTCATTCACTCCATTAAATAGTAGGAACTAGAGGCTGTAAAATTATTCTCAAGACTACTAAAAGGAAAAGACAGGCAAAATAAAAGCATAATTCAGCTTGATGGAAACAAAAATAATTAAATACCTTTTATCACTATTTGCCAAACACATGCTATAGTTAAATCCTGAGAGCTGCATGTGATGTCACTGGCTTTAGGAATATGGTTGTCTCATTAGTGTTGTTGGTATGCACAACAGGTCTTCTAAAAATAGTCATGTTCAAATTAGAGCTGCAAAAACCCTGATGCAGTGATTCTCTGTAGTATCCTGCCTCATCTCTCCTTACATTTGTCAAAGACAAATTCTGTCTCTTCTAAACATTTTTACCCATCTTTAATAGTACAGACCACCAACACAATTACTGTATTGCAGTATGTATGTTCAGGGAGGAGAACCAAGATGCCTTTGTTTTTCAGTTTAATTAAAGGTAAGTGGTAAAATGGAAGTGACAAGACAAGCATCTTGCATGTCCTTATTGTCAATATTTCAGCAATCACAGCTTTGCTGCTTGCAATCATCTCCTGCAAATTTCTCAAATATTATTTGATGTTACTCCACTGGTTTTCAAAATTGCTTAGCAAGAAATGTTAAATGCAGGCTGGACTCAGAAAACTGAAGGTAGCTCTGTGGGTCAGGGGAGTGCAAGTTGCCAATAAGTGCACAGGAGGATGTATTTACAAAAGGTACTAAAGGGTGCTGGAGCAGCAAATCAGACAACCGAAAAGCTAAAGCCAGACATTGATTCTTATGTAAGTGTTACCTAATTGCTATTTCTTCCCAGAAATCAGTCCACCAGAGTTGTCTTGTGTTTCATTACAAATGACCCTTTGTGAGGACCCTTGACAGCAATGTGAGGTTTTTAAGTACTGCTTATTATGACTACATCAACTTTAACTGCAAGGACCAGCATTAGCTTTCTCTCCTAGGAATATGAAAGGTATTGTCAGGGACACACTATCATTGCTGTGAGGAATACAACACCTTACTAATCCTGCATTTGTTTGGTGCTAGAACATACACTGTGAACTCTGGCCACCCCTTGTAGTAACCAGACAGCAGTACTCTGAAATACAGCCAGTGCAATCAAAAGAACTACAGTGTTTTTCCACAAGAATAAGTCCCAGTCCCAGTCATGCTCATGAATACTGTGTGCACTTTGAAAGCTGAGTCCTCCCCAGAAGAGGACTTCTAAGAGTCCCTTAATTTTTTTTCTTTTTTTCCCCTTTTATTTTCTTTTCCTTTTTTTTTTCTTTTTTTTCTTTTTTTTTTTTTTCCTTTTTTTTTCTTTTCTGAAGCACTGGGTGAATCTGAGGAAGTTCTCAGCAAGGCATCCATCTACCTAGTATCTGGCCATTTGAGTGTCAGCTTGCATAGAGATGCTAGACTTGCAACTTTGCTGTGAGCAATAACTGATCCTGTAATGTGCAGGGGGGAAATTTTGCATTGTTCTGAACAATTTTCAATACACCAGCAGATTTTTTTCTACCAGATGGAAGGCTGAATTTGCTTTTGTTCTACTTGCAGCTCCTTCATGCTTACTTTCCCTGAGCACTCAGATGTGAAGTAAAACTGTGATTACACCTTCATCTTTATGATCTGCTTGCTTTAATGTATAGCCCCCGCCTCTACTTTTTGTAACACAAGCAGAGAAATGCCATGTGAGAGACAGAGCAGCCACATGTAATATATTTCACGAGAGACAGTCAGTTCCTTCAAGCAGAGACTGGATCTTTCTGGCTAGGAGGAGCGCTAGATCTTCCCAGCATTGCTTCTTCTGGATCAGCAACTCTGTGTTGCACCTTGGAAGGTTCTAGACTTGGGTGGGTTTCAGAGCTGGACACTGGAGCTGGAGAGAGAAAACACCTTTTTTTTTCTTGAGTGAAGGTGTGAGTGTCAGATTTTCACAGTGGAGGAGGATCATCTCTTCCTAGTGATTCATACACTCTGATCCTCAACTCCTCAGCTGCTTGAACCCCAGGGGCTAGGACAGGATGAAACAAAGAACTGAAAATTATTAAGAGGCATGAAGAACACTCAGCCCATTTCATTGACTTCTGTGGGATTGAATCTGAGCTTTCTTTGCTGAAAAGTGTTTCATTTATACAAACTAATCTGTTGCCCACATATAAAGAAACATTAAATTCTCAAAGTCTGCAATTCTCAACAAATTTTATACAGGGCATTTATCCTGCCATCAAAATACAAAAAGCTTTGTCTGAGGGAAGACAGCGAGAATTGCAGCTGGAATTACTTATAGAGTCATTCTTTAGAATTCCAAATGGTTTCATCACATGTAGATATCATGTGCTAAGCTGTAACTGAGTGTGGCAGAGAATCAGGGCCCCTACAAGGCGTATGCACAACACTAATGGCCTAATGCCAGTTCTAAGTATTACCTATGTATTTTGGTGAGTTGATTTGCACCTACATGCAGATTATGACTACAGTCAATTTTTCATCAACAATTTTCCATCAATGTCTAATAAGACAATGATTGCACTTTTGCAATCACATGAAAAAAATTACTTTGCATAGATCAGGAAAGATAATAATTATCATAAAGCTTACTTGACTGTGTTCAGAAAATTAGCAACTGCTCATGGAGGATTGTCAGTGAAAAGATGTCATGTAAAAGGAAATTATAAAAATTAGACATTTGGAGTTTCTGAGAAGAAAATTTTTGAAAAATATATTTTTGAGAAGTATGAAAACACAGAAATAGTACCTGTTGCAGAAGCAATATAAATGCGCAGCACTGTCACACTCAGTGATTGTTATGGCTCCCTGAATAATTACAGCAAATTAAGTTCTATAATTTTCTTTAATTCATACACAGCTAAAATAAAATTTCTCAGTTGAAAAAAACAAACTGGTGTTTTATTGACAAAAGAGCTACACTTTGAATGGAAAAAAGGATCAAACAGCAGACTGAGAACATATTTTTGTATCTAATTGTGCAGCAAACTGTGGAAATACCAAAATGATGCTGATGGTTTTCAATGTTATGCTTCCCTCTTCAATGTGATTACTCTAAGATGGGAAAGAACAGTGTCATAAATACCTGAAATATGAAAAAGAAAAATTAAATTATTTCAATGTTGATAATATACCAGTTTGTCATAGTACTAGGAACGCTTATCTGCAAATTAACACTAAATGAGAACGACATTTCTCCTCCAGTATTAGTCACGTGATGTAATTTGTAACCTGACAAAGTAAGCCAGAAGAAAGTAATAATTTGATCCTAGATGTTGCAATCACAGTTTCTTCCCTTCCAAAGGAATTTTAAAACATGATACTTCAGCTGATATCCTGATCCCATGTAAGTACTGAGGCATGTCTGTACTGATGGCTGTTGCTATAACCTTGCAGTTCCAAGAAGCTTCACTCGCTCTTGCTGTCAAACCCAGTTTTATGTTTTCACACAACTTCTTTTTCTTTCAGGCTGTGAGATTGAAAATGTGTAGGGGATAAACATGCAGAAAGCTGTGGTGAAGAACAATCTCCTTGGGAACACATTACCTTTTGCAGAGTTCAGCACTCCAAAGCTTGGAACACACAGAAAGGGAATTTGCTGATCTAACTTAAACGAAGTACCCCTGTATGCATGCATTATAAAATAGTATGTAATTACAGAAACTTCACACCTGTGCTCCTACAAAACTCATCCTTATTCCATGTGTGAAACTGATGACTGTTCCTGAGTGGGTAGATATACCTTCTTCTCTTCCTCATACACCAAATCATGTTGTTACTTTAAGGGGGTTTTTTAAATTTGATGGATTATTTCTAGAGAAACCCCTTACTGCATAGACACAACTAAGTGAAAAAGCTAATGCTATTCACAGCTAAGACTACGTATTTATATGCAAATACTGTATTTAAAGACCTGTAATAATAACTCTTCCTGTTTCTTACCAATTGGGATACTACTTGAAACAACTGAAATGAGAGTCCTTGCAGAGGAATCCTAAAGCAGACGCCATCAAAGGCCAGGAGAAGGTTTGCCTTAACTTTCCTCAAGTAGGAACAAATGTGAAGTCATAGTAGACAGAGAACATCCAAATTAAACCCCATCCCTAATCAGTAGATATTTGAGCTACCAGGTTTGCTAGGCAGGGTACCTTCACAACTGCGGATAAGAAAGAAAAGGGGATGGGACAAGTAGGAAGTTAATAATCTCCAATCTTGCTTACTATCTCTCCCAATGAAATTTCAAAGTTCAGTTATAAGCCTTGCACTCATGCAGCCAAGAAGGTAAACATCATCAGCGTGATTTAGAGGGCTTTCAGCACATCCCTCATGATCATTCAAGTAGATAAGGAAAACAAGATAAACAGAACAAAGCCATCTAGAAAATACTTCACTTTGTCAGCTGAATAACAAAGGTGTTTTACAGGGTTGCAGCTTGACCTAAGGTAGATTCATTAATTTCTCTCCTGCTCTACTCAGTTCCACACTGCTGGGTTAGTGATGTGTGGTAGCTACTGACCTTTTTCCTAAGGACACCCTTGTCCCTACCTTCAGAACACTTCCTGCTAATAATGTTTCAGTGTCTTTCCCATATCATTTCTGACACATAATTTTGCTGTGTTTTTCACATGGAGGGCACTACCATATAATTTCTCTTCCCCTGCTGTTTCCAGTATTGTCACTTACAGCCTTGAGCCTTCTTTTCTGACGCAGCTGGAGGACGGCAGCTGGGTGCAGAAACCCTTCTGCAGAGGTTTCCATGGGTAATGTTGATTCTCCAGGCAGCTGCAGTGCTATGCAGCAAGCTTTAGAGCTCCTTTTTATAGATGCAGTTATCAGTATGCTTTGACTCCTGGGGCCACAGTCATACCGAGAATAATCAAAATACTGGCAGTTCCCAGACTACATGTGGATGTAACTTGTCCTTACAGCTAGTAACCTTCATAGACATGAAGCTGTGAAACCTTTAGGGAATAGTGGAAATTAATTTTAAAAATACATTTCTGTCCTTGCTATGCAGTCTTTTCTAAAGTTCAGTGAATGCTGATGGAACAATTCACATGAACAGGTTTAATCAGGCCTGCAGACTACAATTATGTAAGCATGATGCAATTTGCTGGGACAAAAACATGGAACAAGTTCAGCATTTCATTACATTTCAATATGGATTGAGAGACTTAATTCATATGTAGGTGGATTGACTAAACTTGGCAGGTAGCTGGTTGTAACAGGAACTAAAGGTGTCTGGATGTGATGGTTATATATATGGTATACACACACACACACACACATGTTTACTTCTTACTAGTTATTCTATACTGCCAAATCTACTTAACCTTAACTGTTTTCCCCAAGTATGGAGTAACAGATTTATTTCAGGTCATGGGAAAGTAGCTCCAGCCAAAATCTAGAGCACCAAGGAAGCAGGGTACACTTATGTGGCGTGGTTAACTAAGTACAGACACAAAAATGAGAGGCTGGATGGAAAATCACATGAGCTAGGGAAGCCATGTATGCTGTGGGATTTTTCATCCCTTACTTAAGATACTACAGCACCCAGTCTGTCGTGAAAATTATCTTTTTATCTCTTCTTCAATGCTGATGCATTCATAGTTTTTAAGAGGGGCTATTAAACCATCTTGTAAGAACTTAAGGGCTTTTTTTTAAGTTTAAATTCCTGTCTGGATCTGAAAAAGCAGACCTGCTGCCTTTGCTGGAAATATTGTTTCTTACTGGTATTTCTTATTTCTTATGAAACATCTGTGCTGTTTTAAAAATATTAGGCACACTATATCCATGTACACCTATATTCACACATACATTGTTCTTTCTTGGTCCTATAGTGCTTTTCTTTCCCCTAACAGTTTCTGTTCTTTGGGCTCCCTGAAGCCAGCAAAAAAGAACCTCAGGGGAAAAAAACCCAGACACATATCTGATATTCAAAATAATAAATAAATTTCTTCCATTCTTGAATAGATAAAGAATCCTTATGGTTCCCACAAGCAGTCAAAGAAATACTTCCAGCACAAATATCATTGAGGAATTTCTCCTGGTGCTTCTTCTCCACTTCTGTCCTTAAGAGTAACAATGGCTGTGGGGTGGTATATGAGGAGCTGCACCACATTTCAGCACTGCTGGTACATCAAATATAGGTGACGTAGCACACATGTCACAATGTTAGGAAGCATAAAGCCACTCCCGAATAATTCCTGATAAGGCTGAGAATCATCCTGGTATTTGGCAACTGCTCTGCAAACACAAGAAGGGAAGCCTTGCTCACTAAAATGCAGGGTATGAGACAAGCAAAGCTCTGAATGCCTCAGCCTGTGAAACATTCATCTGCTGTCTTCATCTGCCTTTGCAGGGAACATGTCTAAATGCCTACCCTTAAAGGGAAGTCACTATTTTAAGGGAGCCACTGTTTTACTCTGGGAGCACAACAACGAGAATTTCTAGCAAACACGTTCACCACAACATAAAAACTTCAGGGATAAGGTTCCGATGCAAAAAGGGGGTGTGGGAGAAGTTATATAAAGTGTATTTCCTTTTGCACCAGATGGCAGATAGGAAGGCTGTGAGCTTCACTGATCTGAATGTGAACTAAGCCTACCCTTTCGCACTCTGCCACTGTCACCTGCTCCTTCAGAAGTAAAAGATCAACAGTAAATAGTATATTTTTCTGCTGATCACACCACCAAAGCAGTTTTCAGATTTGAGGGTTTTTACATTAGTTTCTTTGAATGCCTTTAAAAGCAACATGATCTCATCTGCCCAGAAGAGAGCAGCATTGATACCCTGGGAAGGACAACCAAGGTATTCTCTCTTGCCAGTGGGCCGGCTCATATCATCAGACAAAATATGGGGATCCAATTATTGTGCTGAAATTTAGGAATTATTTCTATTAATCAACTGATAACCTAAGCATTGATAATGGGAGTTTTTCCGTGTAACAGGCATAAATCTGAGTCAGTCACACAGTTGTGTTTTTGTTAGAGCAACAGAAACTGTTATTTGAGGCTTGAGTAAAAGTACACTGTGTTATAGACAAGGCTACCCTTGATGCACAGCAGATGTACCTTAATTAATCACAGAAACAATCTGCTGTTTGCAGGGAACTTTTGATGCACCCATTTTAAAGGGCATACACACCAAAGAGCCTGATGTCGAGAGATGAAGTATAACTCTGTTACCTAAAAAAACCTGTGCCTTCAGGATTTAGAGGAGAGGAGGATATTCTGCTTAACTGAGGCTTCCTTTTCTTCCATGAGACAACGCTGCCTCCTATTCAGCCCTGTGCCAAGGGGTGTCCGTGCGCCCGTGGCCATGTGGCAGGGCAGAGCTGTTCGCTGGGTGTGCCTGTGCCCTCGCTCCGCGGGGCAGCGCTGGCGGCGAGCCCGGCGCGGCTCGGCTCGGCCCGGCTCGGCTCGGCTCGGCTCGGCTCGGCCCGGCTCGGCTCGGCTCGGCTCGGCCCGGCTCGGCCCGGCTCGGCCCCGCTGCAGCTCCAGGTGCCGCTCGGCCCGGCCCGGCCCGGCCCGCGGCCCTGCCCGCGCTGCGACCCCGCTCCAGCTCTGCCCGAGCCCGTGGTGCCGCACGGTGATTTGAGCAGGACCACCCTCCCGCAGGGGCTGCCCTATGCCCGCTGAAGCGCAGAATTCCCTCCTACCCTCCCGCACAAAAAAAAAAAAAAACCCAATAATTACGTTTTGCTGAACGACCACAAATTTTCACAGCACTGCAGCGTCAGTTAAACCAAGCACAAACCTCTTTATTTTCTTTTCCTTGCCATTGGAGCCGAACTACTTTTACATTTCTGTGTGGGTGATTGCCTGTGATCCCGCAGAGGGAAGGTAGCTTTCCTGAAGAGTGTGCTGGAACAACTGTTGATCTCCCTTGTGAAATCCCATCTGTTGTCTGCAGCAACTCTTACTTGCTGGCTGAACAAGATAATGTTTCCCCAGCAGCAGCTGTAATTTTCCAAGCACTTTGCTGGGTGTAAAGTCAGAATTTTATTCAAAAAAGGACAAGCAGGGATATAATTTTGCTCTCTCCCTTCTGTTTTGTGGTGTGTTATGAATTAAACTGCTGGCAGTCAGGTAGGGCCGAGTCCTTGTGGGCTTCAGGCTTTGTTCAAGACCTCTAAATATGAAGAACAGTGTGCTAATTTTAGAGGTGGATTCTGGAAACGGGGAAGCCAATTTTTTAAAATATACTTTTCTGTATTATTACACCACATTTTTTACATTCTGCCATTTATTATTTAAATAATATCTAAATGAATGTTAGTTTACAGTGGAAACTAATCAGCAGAAGCTGAAGTTGGGAATATTTCAGTGTATTAGAAAAACGTTCTTCACCCAGAGGGTGGCTGGGCACTGGAACAGCTCCCCAGGGAATGGTCTCAGCACCAGCCTGACAGAGCTCAAGATGCGTTTGGACAATGCTCTCAGGCTCATGGTGTGGCTCTTGGGGTGTCCTCTGCAGGGCAGGAGTTGGGCTTTGATGATCCTTGTGGGTCCTTTTCAACTTAGAATATTCTGTGATTATGACTGTAATGAATAATTTGGGGAAATTAAAAAGAAGATTGTGATGATTCGAGAAAAAAAAAAATCCCAAACCAAGTGAACTTGAATAATAACCCAACCACCTCTTCTTCCTGGTTATTGGGAAATTCCTTGGGTTTGAAGAGCTGTACCTGAAACAACTCTCCCCTCGTACTAGTGAGACATTTCCCTCGTGCTAAAACATTTGATTTTTTTTTTTTTTCCCCCCAAAAAGTGAGCGAAATGTGAAATGCACAAATATAAGCCGGGACCAGCATCAGACTCGCGCCTCCCTGCCGGGCTGGCTGGGCAGGGAAGGCGGCCCGGCCCCGCGGGCGCGGAGCTGCCCTGCCCTCTCCTGCCCTGCCCTCCCGTACCCTGCCTTCCCTTCGCCTGCCCTGCCCGGCTCTCCCCTGCCCGCGGCCGGCCCGGGCAGGGGCGGGCCCGGCGGCCGCCCCCGCCCCTCGCAGGGCGGCAGAGAGTTGAACTGAGGAGCCGGAGCTCGGCGCGGGGCCGCGGCCGCGGCGCTGCTCGGCCTGGGGAGCGCCCGCCCGCGCCGGGGGCCAGCGGGGCGGCCGATGGCGAGGCGAGAGGACGGGCGGGACTGGGCGTACAGGTAAGGGCTGCCGACAGCGCTGAGCTCGGACCGCGCCGGCCGGCTGGGAGGGCGAGCTGCGCCTCCCCGAGCGCTCGGAGCCGGCCCTGCCGGGGGCTGCGGCCGGGGGAAGCCCCCGCGGACCGGCCCAGGCGCGGCTGTGGCTGAGGGCACCGAGTGGCCGCCGCAACCTTCCCTGCCCGAGGGCAGCCGCGGAAGGTGGCTTCCCTAAACCCTGCGTCCTCCCTCTCTGTTTTCCCTTTCTACCTTAGGAATGGAGTGGAGCATGAAATTAATCTGCACTTGCTGCTTGGGCAGTCGCAGTCGTAAATAAGAGATGTGTGTTCATGGACGTGTGAGGGGGTTTCGTGTGTGTATGTGGTTTCATGTTCCGTGTCTGCGGAGAAACCTGTCTCGGGGGTCTCGCTGCTTTTTACACCTGTGGGTTTTGTGTCACATTGGAGGATACATGCATACTAAGGTGCTCTTCTAAACAGCCAGCAATCTAATAGCGATTTGGGGTCTGAATATTTAATTGTTCCTCATCTGATTCATCCTTTACTACCTGTGACGCTCCCGTGAGCCAGTTTTCCCAAGGCTGTGCCAGTGCTGCTCCATGGCCAAATTCCTTCACCATGAATGAAACAGACAGTGTTTTGGGAAGTTAAATGCTGAAGTCTGTCCTGAAATCTTGTCTGACTGGACAGATCCCTCTGCCTGTTTAACTTCTGCGAAGCCCATTAGTGTCCTGTACTCAGGGAATAATTTGCAGGTACGGAGCACCCTGGGAAGTTGCCATAAATATAATTTAGCAAGGTGAGCTG